TGGCAACTGCTGAACGGAGCGTCTACAATATTTGTATCGTTCTTTTTAATGTACTGGTGATTATTTATGATTTTTATGGTATCTTGATTTGTGCAGCACTTTGAGTTGCCTTGTGTATGAATTGTGTATGAGAGCGGCACGGTGGCACTTTCACTTCTCAGCAAGAAGGTCCTGGGTTCAAATCCTGGTAAGAACAGGGTCTTTTTGAGTGGAGTTTGCATGTTCTCCCCGTGCCTGCGTAGGTTTCCTCCTGGGGCCCCGGTTTCCCCTACCACTAAAAGCATGCACACTAGGTTAAATCCTCCAGCTCTGGTAGTACTGACCAAGCCGAGCTTCAACATCTGGAGATGGGTTACTACTGTTACTACGGCGACCACTGCTCCTGACGTAAGCCTTAGTGGCATCAGGATGGGTCAAATGTAGAGAATGAATTTCTCTACGGGGATCAATAAAGTGCACCTTTACCTTTATACAGATTAACTTGCCTTGCCTTACAATTCTTCCATGCTTTAAAATCGCTTGCATTCTGAAAATCTTTGGTCCTGTCGTATTGGCGTCAGTAAAACACATCTTCTGTCTGTGACACAACCCCAGACCCCTCGCAGATGAGGAAGCACCGGTTAATTCTGGCGGCAATAATATTATTCATGTTTGTAGAAGAAAATACTTTTGTAATCTGACGTCTCTGGAGGATCTCAGGACTCAGGGGTCAATGTGATGGTTTTACTGAACTCATGCGGCTGAATTTTATTTTTAAACAACGCTGAGGTGGGATCGCAGCCCATGGATGTGGCAGGTGTTCGGTCCTCGCCGTGTGAGGACGGAATGGAAATGACTGAGACTCCAAAAAATGTTTGTGTGACCTTGGTCTGTGAACCGCTGTGTCAATAAAGATTACTTTATTTAAACTTGCAGCCCCATGCCGGGACACACACACACCGTACACACACTTATAGTAAGTAAGTAATCTTTATTTATACACACATATATACACACACACACATCTATACACACACGCGCACACACATTAATACATACACGCACACACACATTTATACAGACACACACACAAATACTCACATACACACACAAATACACACCTATACGCACACACATACACACTCTCACAACACACTCCCTTGCTTTTAAAAGTTATCAGTCTCTGTAGCTCTCAGATAAGACGCTGATGGGAGCCACGTCCACCTCGGCTGCTCTGCGCTATCAGCTGTGTGTGTGTGTGTGTATTCAGGAACCTTTCGTTGGAGGACGTGCTCTCGTGCTCTTACACCCACATTGTGTTGGCGTCTGTTGTGTTTGTCTTATAATAAACATGACCCCAGTGAACGAGAGGAGAGCAGGGACACAGTGGGACAAAGTGTGGCAGTAGTAGTAAGAAAACGAAGTCCGATTTACAGACGGGGGTTGTTTTGTATCCACACAAACCGTCTACAAATGGTTCTGTAGTCAGGGCAGTTTTGAGTAAATCATTAATTTGATTTATAAACCACTAAATGATGAATCAAAATAAAAACCTCCAGATTGAGTATCCAAACTATAGTTACAGTTTACTAACAGCATGCATCTGACTTAGATTGTTGTGTAAATGTATAAGTTCTAGCATTGTAATTATTCTGAACATTCTATCAAATTCAATTACATTTTTTTTTTTTTTATTGACGGCCCCTGAATTAACACAGCAGTCGCCTCGGAGGACTTAACAAAGCTGTCGATTCACCAACAACAAATCAGAGAATCAAACAGTTAGAACCCAGAAAAGGCCACAGACACACATGTTGTAGCTGAAAGAGAGTCAGGTGTGCAGTCAGATTGTCAATAATTATAAATTGTGTGAGGGTCTCTCTAATCGACGATACTTCAGTTTTCCTGTATTTAAAATGTGAATGAATCCATGTTTTTATTGTTAATTTGCACACCTTTTTAACCGTACTGTCATTTTGCCTCTGCCTAAGGATTACAGATGGGAATGGCACGGTGGCTGAGTGGATAGCACTCTCGCATCTCCGCAAGAAGGTCCTGGGTTCGAATCCCGGCCGGACCAGGGCCTTTCTGAGTGGAGTTTGCATGTTCTCCCCGTGTCTGCGTAGGTTTCCTCCGGGTACTCCGGTTTCCCCTACCACTAAAAATATGTCCAATAGTTCTGGCATGCGCTTCCTGTACTGGCGACCCTGCTCCCATCTCTGTGTGGAGTGAGAGACAAATGCCCAAAATTAACAATTGTAAACCGCTTTGAGACTCAGATCTGCAGTGAAAAGGCGGTATATAAATAATAACTTACTTACTTACTTACTACTTACTAGTTTGTAGCTACGCTTGATCTCTACGACACTGTTTAAACTTCCCTTTCGCATAAATAAGATTCGTACATCGGGCTGATGGCTGCGGTCTGACCAGTTCTTCAACACTGTCTAAACAAGGAACAAACCAATTTTAAACGCAGCATACTTTTTGAACTGTATAATAATTGCGACATCAGGGCTCCCATCACATAACTCCGGCCTCTGCTCCTCCTCCTCAGTCCACCGCACCACAGCCACAGAGAGGGCCTTTGTTGCCGAGGTCACGCAAGAGCAACGCACACAAAGAGAAACGCAACACACACAAGTCCATTACACATAGTTTTTTATTAAATACTTACTTGCACAAGGCAAACACACACTGTAGCAAATTTCTGTAAAATTACAATGAAATTTCAACATTAAAGAAATGTTATTTTGAAAAACAATTCAAACCATTCAAGTACAAAATCAGATTTTTTTTTTGATTGATTGGATTTATTTCAAGCTTATAAAAAGGAAGCAATTACAAAGTGTACATGATAGAAACAAACATACATAAGTACATTCATTCTTACATTTAAGGGTTTCCTTTCTTTTTTCACTCCTGTTAAGTACATTTCTCCATTGTGAGATCAATAAAGTTCATCTTAATCATTTCTTCATTTTTTGTATTTAACGTTTATTTAACCAGGACAAATCCAGGACAAGAACCTCTTTTTCAAGGGAGTCCTGGCCAAGAGGCAGAAAAGTTACACATAAAACAACACACATAAAATTACACTTAAAATGACAAGGATACAGACTACACACATCAAGTGTCATTAAAGCTCAAAAAGGAATGGGAAGAAGTCAAACTAATATGCTCCCACCCCTATACCTACAGTAAATTCACCTTATAAAGTATAAAATCTCTGACTCTAGCATAAGAAAGAAGCAAGTACTGTATATTCTAGTGCAAAGACATATATAGTTGTGTGTATACATCTGTACATGTTAGCAGCAGGAGGGTGTTTCATGTAGTGGCATTTTCAAAAGTTATCTGGACTTGACTCTTCTAGGATATCTTTTTTTCACCGTTACATTTAGGGCATTGTACGAACGATTAGTATAACGCAATCTTAAGTCGTGCGCTTTTACGAGGCGCAATAAAACACGGGACAAATGCAGTCAGAATGTTAAAAAGGAGCATGCGGAGCCTTTTTTATGGCCCTGTGTAAATATGAGCTGCAGCGTGGAGCTAATGTCCAACCATCCAACCATCAGAGAGTTTAGTGCCCTCGGCTGCAGCTCTGTCTATAAACGGAGCCTGCAGGGATGAGCACCGTCTATAACCCGACCTGCCGTCACCCACGGTAACGATCCACGGCCAGAGAGAATGTCGTCCTTTACACAAACCGCACATCACCACTCAAGCCTCAAAATGGAAAATATTAAAAGGAACTATTTTTTTACGTTATATTTAATTTATGTACACTTCTTACCTGAATAAAATAAAAATAAAATTGTTTTGAGATATCGAATTTATCTGACAAACAGGCAATTTACATTAAATTTGTCATGGATTGTCCTGGTCTGTAGAAGTTTAAAGTCAGTTGAACCACACAGCAGCACAGACGAGGCACACACAATACATTTTTCAGACAATGGAAAATACATTTGATCCATTTTTATTTTTTATGAAGCACAATTCAAAATAAGAGTTTACATAAGCTGTACATAAATGACATTACAGAAGAGAATGATAGAATACAATACAATAACTGATGAATTTAGTGAAATAGAAGAGTGAAAGATCAACCACTAGTTAACATTAAAAAGTTTTTTTTTTTAAAGAAATTATTTAAAATCAATAAGTGAATCAGCTTTTATTTAGAATAAAATCTAAACCATGAAAAAAGTTGTGTCTTGTCCAGTTTTTCTGCTGTCTGAGAATTGTATTGAGAGACAGGAAGCTAATATTCTAACTTTAGAATTTAAGAAGAAGAAGAACGTCGTTTATTCAACCCACAATGGGGAAATGTCAGTTTGATGCATACACATATCCACATCAAGGCAAGCAGCGAACATCCCTTCCACGCTCCTTTTTGGCAAAGTGGGTTAAGTGTCTTACCCAAGGACACAACGATAGCAAACATCAGTGGGAGTCGGTGGAGAAGGTCTCATGGTGGGCTCGAACCCACAACCTTTGGGCATAAAGGCCAATGCTCTACCAACTGAGCCACTGTCGCCCAAAAGAAAGACCCATCAGCAACGTGAGCCTCCAAAATGGTAATCTTTACACTAGTGGTCTGGTCTCAACCTGGACCCAGAGAACTGGTCTCGGTCTTGTCCCGGAGGTCCAGTCTTTCCTCCAGTCCCGTTCTTCTGTGTGTCTCTTTATCCTGTTGGTTCTCTTCCTGAACGCTCCCAGTTCTTCAGTCCATGTGAGATCAGAGATTTTTACTACTAAGATTATTAGTAAGGCCCAAGACAATAAATAGTAAAATATTATTACATCAATGTTGCCAAACTGCTACATAGTATATAATTTAATTCACTTGCCTTTAATTAACCTTACTGTTTTTCAGTTAATATCTGTGTCATTTGCTGATTTTTTCCAACGTATCCTTGAACAGTGACATCAGATAGAAAACACATGCATCGTATTTTAGGTTTAGGTGGTTTTGCTTTTGTGATGTTTCGAGAATGTGATTTTGTTCAGGTTCATTCGTGCAGCTGCAGTTTGGAGTCCAGCAGCTTCGAGTTCAGATGCCTCAGATCGAGCTGTGTTTCCATGGTTACTGACAGGTCTCCAAGAGCTTGACTTCTGCATGAACTTGAATATTCATCTTTTAATCCCAGCAGTGAGTTGACTAAGTGTTGTTTGTCTCTGCACTGCTGTCAGGAAGAAAGTGCTCATGCCACATAATCATCATGCTCTATAGATGTTTCCTTTTTAACGACAGGGTCAATGTCGAGCACAATGTGAAGTCATACATTTAGAGTTTTTTATGAACAAATGTTTTTAGCACAATATTTTATCAAAATATCATGCAGCCTTACCTGGGTCTACAGGCACAAATGAGCTCTGTTAATGTCTGTTACAGTCTGTTCTTTGCGAAAGCCAGATCTCATCAGAGCTCTGAAGCTGTGCAGGGCAGGGCCTGGTTAGTACTGTGATGGGAGACCTCTGGGAATACCACGTGCCACAGTGGGGCGGCTGTAAAGTACCAGACTGTTGTTGTGTCCTTAGGCAAGACAATTCACCCACATTAGAATGAGTCTGGTGTGTGTGTGTGAATGGTTGTCGGAGGGGCCGATGGGACATACTGATTGTCTAGCTTCTGTCAGTGTGCCCCAGGGCAGTTGTGGCTACAGTAGTAGTTTATCACCACTCTGTATGGAGTGAATGATTTATGACATGTGAAGCTCCATTGAGCTCCGTTTACAGGTGGGAGGGTTTACCTCCTTTTGCAGATTGAAACGATTGGATCTGAGTTTACCATCACGTATGTAGTGCGCCGGAGTCTGTTGTTAGCATTTAACATTAGCCTAGCCATCTCCTTTGCTGCTAACGGAGCCCGTGGGGAGTAGCGCCACCATTTTTCCAGCGATTACATTTGCTAAACATTCCTCTTGCTCTGGCTTCAATTCCTTGATAGAACCAGACCGGATTACTTTACTTTTGTTACCACAACCTGCCCGTTCGACGCAAACTCTTGACGTCTCCCACAACTAACTATAATAACCCGCCTTCCACGCTCTCTGAGTAGCCGGTCGAAATACGACCGATTCTATTCGCTAACACAAGGACCAGACCCAGACGTTACAAGCAGTGAAATGATGTTTGAGCGGAGTGTACGGATGGCTAAGGCCAGGCTACATCAGTAATGAGGATATTTTGGTGCTGTTTGCGCTCAGATACACAGACCTGTCTAAGTGGACTATGGGAGGTCCTGGTCATAAGCCAGCGTGGAATCAGGAGACATTTCTTGTATATTTCATTTATAAGTTCATTTGGCTTTTTCCTTTGGCAATTTGTGTATTAAGGCAATCAGAATTTGCTCAAATCAAGATACATTTTTGCCAAATTTGAGACATTTTTTGACCTATTTTTCATCACTTTTTGCAGCGTGCAGACTGTGCAAGCGTGTCTGTATTTGAAGCCTCCATTGTTAGCCCTGGCCTCACGCTTGCCTCTGATGCAAGCTTGTTCTCTTCTCCCTCTGCTCTCGTGTTTTGTAGCCGCTTGTAAATCCGGCGTCTTGTCGAGGTCCGGGCCTTCGGTTGATCTACGCTCGATCTGACAAGCCGCGCAGAGAAAAGTCGGAAAAGCGCCCGCAGCCAACCCCCCACGCACTCAGGTGCAACTCTTCACCTCTGCTCCCCCCGCGGTTACCTCCCCCGCTCTGTAACACCCTCCTCCCCTCCTCCCTCTAGTTTTCCTCAGGACGTAGAGAAAGACAGCCAGGCTCAAGAGCATGTCGGGGGGAATTAGACGGTACCAGACAATTTGATTTCTCTGTCTTCAAGGCTTCCACAGACACTTGCAGCAGGGATAGAGGCCGGGTTTAAAAAGCTGCAGATGGAAACACGCAACGGCGAGATCGGATTTACAATAAGGGCGCGAAGGAAGAGATGCCAGAGAAGAATCAGGATAAGAATTTGACGTACACGTTTAAAGATGTAACACGGTTGGGAACTCCTTCAAGACTGTTGGAAGACCATTTCAGGTCACTACTTTTTGAAGCTCATCAAGAGAATGCCAAGAGTGTGTGAAGCAGTAATCAGAGCAAAAGGTGCTACTTTGAAGAACCTAGAATATAAGTCATTTTCAGTTGTTTCAAACTTTTTTTTGTACGTACATAATTCCACATGAGATAATTCATAGATTTGATGCCTTCAGTGTTAATCTACAATTTTCATAATCATGAAAATAAAAAAACTCTTTGAATAAGAAGGTTTGTCCAAACTTTTGGTCCGTACTGTATATGCATGCATATAAATTTTTACCACTTGCATTTGTAACTTTCAGTCATTTAGTTATGTATTTATGTTAATAGATTAATAACTAATCCATTAGTAGTTGTCAATTCAAGTTTTAACATGCAAGAGGTTGTAAAACTCAACACAAAATACACCAATACAAAATACAGTAGCTTCCTTCAGCTCCGTCATGTTAGATTAGTGTTAAATGATCTACTAAGTGGAAATTTACTGACTTCTGTTGCTCATGTTGTAACGACCAGCTCAGTTTTAACATAAAAAGTCTCAAAAGAGATCCATACAGCATCCCTATACACAATACACAAACGGTTTAGCTAGTTTAGTTCCTTATATCCAAATCTGCTGCTGGTCTGATCGAGCGGAGCCCTGCAGAATGTCATAGACCTCCTGTAACTCAATACAGGGTTAAGTCGAATCAAGGAGGACCAACAAATACTCTAAACGGTATAGACTGAGGCTGAGAGTCTGAGAAAGGCCAAAGACAATAGTGGAGGCCATCTCAGTCGCCACTTAATGTAGTCCACCCACTCAGCGCTGTCCAAATGGGCTGATTGACGCCTGTTAGCTCCTTTAATAGCGGCTATAATGGAGCGCAGTCCAGTGGGCGGCGAGACACTGAGCCACCCCGAACCAAAGTAACTCAATTCTTGGGTTTCGGATCTCTCGTTTCAGCCGTTTTATCAGCTCCGGAGCGGGGTTGGAGATGCGGCTCTCCTCTGCACACTCACGCAGATAGATTTACAAACCCACAGAGGAGCGCAGAGGTGAATTATGGGTAGTGCCGTTGACCTTGCGGTGGAGTAATGTCCGTGGGAGCAGAGTGGGCGCCCTTCATTATGTGTGCATTACGGACAGGACGCCTGGGCTTTGCTTCCTCTTGCTGTGTGCCTGCTAAAAGCCACAAGCTAGCATCTGAATTCAGAACAAAAAGGCTTCTTCCCTGCCTTTCTCGTTTTTATCCTTGACCTTCTTGCCATTAAGTTTGACGCTAAGTGGCATTAAAAAGTCTTATAAAACACAGAAATTTCACTTGACCAAACTTGGAGCTTCTCTATCCCATGAAAGGTCATTGAAAAACAATTTGTTTTTACTGCTATTTCTAGACCCAAGTAGTACTTCTGACAACCCTTCTGTGATGGAAGGTTTGCTTTAATAAAGAAATATTATGACTTTTTTTGTCCATTACGATTATAAAAAAACTTTATTTTATTATTTCATGTTTTAGAATGTGAACCAATATGTTAAGCAGAACATTTGTGGATCAGTGGACAAAGGACCATATTTGCCAAGATCAGAGGACCCAGGATCCTCTGGTCTCAACTCCGCTGGTCTTGGCTTCATCTTTTCTGTTCCGGGACCTCTAATCTCTGGTGCTGGATGCTATAGTCTTCTGGTCTCGGCTCTTCTGGTCTCGGCTCTTCTGGTCTCTGCTCTTCTGGTCTTGGCTCTTCTGGTCTCTGCTCTTCTGATCTCAGCTCTTCTGGTCTCTCCTCCTCTGGTCTCGCCTCCTCTGGTCTCGCCTCCTCTGGTCTCGCCTCCTCTGGTCTCGCCTCCTCTGGTCTCGCCTCCTCTGGTCTCGGCTCCTCTGGTCTTGGCTCCTCTGGTCTCGGTTCCTCTGGTCTCGCCTCCTCTGGTCTCGCCTCCTCTGGTCTCGCCTCCTCTGGTCCTGCTCCTCTGGTCTCGGATCCGCTGGTCTCGGCTCCGCTGGTCTCGGCTCCTCTGGTCTCGCCTCCTCTGGTCTCGCCTCCTCTGGTCTCGCCTCCTCTGGTCTCGCCTCCTCTGGTCTCGCCTCCTCTGGTCTCGCCTCCTCTGGTCTCGTCTCCTCTGGTCTCGCCTCCTCCGCTCTCACCTCCTCTGGTCTTGGCCTCCTCTGCTCTCACCTCCTCTGGTCTTGGCCTCCTCTGGTCTCACCTCCTCTGGTCACGCCTCCTCTGGTCTCGCCTCCTCTGGTCTCGCCTCCTCTGGTCTCGCCTCCTCTGGTCTCGCCTCCTCTGGTCTCGCCTCCTTTGGTCTCGTCTCCTCTGGTCTCGCCTCCTCTGCTCTCACCTCCTCTGGTCTTGGCCTCCTCTGGTCTCACCTCCTCTGGTCTTGGCCTCCTCTGGTCTCACCTCCTCTGGTCTTGGCCTCCTCTGGTCTCGTCTCCTCTGGTCTCGCCTCCTCCGCTCTCACCTCCTCTGGTCTTGGCCTCCTCTGGTCTCACCTCCTCTGCTCTTGCCCCCTCTGCTCTCTGTTCCACTGGTATCGGCTCCTCTGGTCTTGGCTCCTCTGGTCTTGCCTCCTCTGGTCCTACTCTTAAATTCAGAATGATGTTGAGGAAGTGACTTTAAAGCTGCACTAACTGACTTTGGGATTTTGAAGCAGCAGACTCGCTGGCCTCGCTCTTTCTGCTCCCCTCCCCGCACCCACGAAGCTATCGCCCCCCACACACACCCACTGTTGTTGACGAAGCTAGCGTCTCCCAATATTTCAAGATTTCAAGATTAATTTATTATGTCCCGTAGGAAATTTGTCTTGGACTCACAGGCTGCTACATTGAAAATACACACAAGACAGACATAAAACACAACACAGTGACACCGACATAAACCATCACCGCTCTGCTCGATGGCCTGCATTCAGGAGGTTCACAGATATGGGTAGGAATGAGTTCTTATACCGGTTTAGATATCGTTTCTTATTTCTAGTGGGTACTCTGTAGCGGCGGCCTGATGGGAGGAGCTCATACTGAGAGTGGAGGACATGGGAGGGGTCTGAGGTGATTTTCCTGGCCTGTCTAATTACAGTCTCCTCAAATATCTGCTGCAAAGATGGATGTTCCCTAACTCCCATGACTTTAAAGGCTGTGCGCACTAATCTGTAAAGTTCTGCTTTTGTTTTAACAGTCAAATTCCCAAACCACACACACATACCATATCTTATTACACTCTCAATTACAGCATGATAAAATAGCGTCATTATTTTCTGTTCAACTCCAAAAAGTCTTAATCTCCGCAGGAAATAGAGTCTTTGTTGAACCCTGCTGCAGACAGAGTTCTGCATGTATAATATGGATAATACATGGATATGGATTTGCACGTGGATGCCGTGACCATAGAACGATAGAACCGGGAAGCGCAGAGGAACGGGACTTTCTTTTGGATGGCTGTCTCGCTGAGTAAGCATGCAGTAACCGGTGACGAAGACACACGAAGCTTCAGGTTAGCTCCGCCACTTGTTGTGCTAACTCAGCCGTCTATGCTAACAGGGACCTGTAGATTTCTTACGAAAGTGGGGGCTAGTGGTCCGCTGTGATTGGTCACAATCTGCGACCCGAAACACATTCTCTTCCTTGTTTCATCAAAACTCAATCTAAATTAAAGCCGCAAGCGGCGATGAAAGGCCTCGCCACTCTTGCGACCGCCTCCCGGGCGCCAGTCCCCATAAGCGTCGCGCGGCGTACTCGCCGACAAATTGGCAGCCCGATCTGACCAGGGTTACGTATATAAAAGTTCATTAATATGAAAAAGTGCGTCCGTAGTGGTCACCTCCGGGACATGCACCCTCTACGTAGAGTAGTATTTTGCTCGTGCAGATGTAAAGATTTGATTTTGCAACTTTGGTGAAGATTGAAAAAGTTTAGGTCAGAAGCCTTCCATAGGTGGCGCTGTAGAGTCATATTAGGTGTGTGTTTTCACACCATGTGAAAGGTGTAGGACTTTGAAACGTGTTTGAAATGATGCTTCATGAACTATGAACTATTTGAGTCTTTCAGTCAATTGTGTTGATACAACAAACACATCCAAAGTAATACAGTTCTACAGAAAGTGATTAATGGAGGAAAAACTACCAAGAGGTGGATTAATTAAACACAACAAACCATTTATTCCCAATAAATAAATACATTTACTTTGCAACACAAAAGTTATTATGGGTAGACCAGGACTCAAACGATACATATTCTGCTTCAGAGTCGGTCATAGACCGACTGCGCCACACAGCTGTTGTGAGATGTATTATCCATTGTATTATTAGTACTAACTTGAAGCCTTGATATATGAGGATTTACTAAAGTGAAACGTTTTTAATTGTATTTCATATGAAGTAGTTTCTCTATACTTAGTACAGGACTGCTCCACATCACGCACACACACGTACGCACACACACACACGTACGCACACAGAGGCAGACGGGGACAGCCAATACAGTCTATGGTACAGCCGCGGATCACAAAGCACCTGTCAAAGCGATGCACTCTCCGAACTATATGAAGCACTATATGAACTGTGACGTGGTGCGGCCGCTACGCGAGGCTTCGAACGTCACCAACACACGCCTCGAACCACGCTTCAAAAAACACGCCCCTTTTTTACTCGGTACACGCTTCGAAGACCCGGCACGCTCAGCACATCACTAGTGTGAACGGAGAAGGAGGACGCAGAGTAGGAGCAGCCCTTAATCAATGGTAAACTAAAGATCCATGTGAAAAAAATTACTTCTCGCTGTTCTCAGGTCAAATATTTATATGCGACTGAAATGCGATTAATCGAGATTAATTAATTACAAAGCCTCTAATTATTATTATTTTTTTTTTTTATCGCGTCCCGGCCCTAGTAATAATTTTAAACTGAGCATAAAACAGTCTTCATCAAACTAACCCAAAAACAGTAGAGCCTGACCCTAGGAATCAAACCCCAGTTAGCAAAGTCCCAGTCGAGAGCTTTAACCACTACACTACACTAAAGCTCACCATGTCAATTTATAGGGTCCTAGGTTTTCAGTGTACCACAAAATTAACGAAATGCAAAATGTTGCTGACTGGCTGTGTCAAAACTGACATCAAACACAGACAAAACCGTTTCAATGTATTTTACAAACCAAGGTAAGCATATCAGTTGTCCAAATATTTTTATTAATGGCAGTAAAATTAAAAATGTTGATGTATTCTCATATTTAGGAGTGACCCTGGATTGAAACCTGACCTTCAAACATCATGTAAAGAAACTCCGTTACACTCTTAAGTTTAATTTGGCCAACTTCAGATACATTCGGGGGTCACTCACCACTGAGGCATCCCATCTGTATCTGAACTCCATGATCCTGTCACATTGTGTATACTGTGTATACTGTGTATACTGTGTATATTGTGTATACTGTGTCTCGAGCTGGTCTCAGGGCTGTAAAACCACTATGGGACCTCTCGAGTCACTGTACAAGTGTGCCCTTAAGATCCATGATAAGAAGTCCAGGCGGTACCATCACTGTCCCATCCTCTCTAAATAAGACTTTCTCAACTTTGAAAACCTAACATTTTACTCCAATGTTTGTTTGCTGTTTAAAATCATCCATGGTGCACCTCCTCTAAGAAAATTTGTTTCATTGAGTGCAGACAAAATGACCAGAACCACTCGATCCACTTCTAGAGGAGAATGCAACGTCAAAAAATGCAAAACAACTTTTGCTAAATCTGCTTTTTCTGTGACGGCCATGAGTCAGTGGAACACACTGCTCACAGAGATCATTGCATGTACTACATTTAAAACATTTTCTTGGCTGACTAAGAAATGGCTTCTGAAAAAGCAAGTTTGCACGCACGAGTGATTGAGTGAGTGAGTGAGTGAGTGAGGGAAATATTCTAGTAGAAGTTGGGGAGCTTTATTTATTGTTTTTAAACTTAATGTTTTGTGAATTATGTTATTTAAAGCCTGTAAATGTAAGACACAGTCATGTATCCATCTACATTGTAGTCAGTTTAAATGAACATAACACCAGCCTGCCCAGGGACTACATGTGGAAATTAGCTTTGCTATAACCTGGTACATGCATCTCTCCTTTTGTTACACTGTCCCTGTCATGATATTCTCCAGGTATATTTTTCGTGTATTGTCTATCAAACGCTAGGGGGCTCTAAAATTAATGTCTAAAAGAAAAAAAACGCGTTTCTTTGTTTTGTAAATAGCAAAACGGCTAATTGTGTGTTTTTACACACAGAGAAATCACTTCTAACAGAGGAGGTTGTGAAATTTTGAAATACACGTGGGGTGATACTATTTTTGTTAGTCATGGGACTTCACACTGCAGATGTTCTTCGGGTTTTTGGGGAACAACCAGGAATGTACTACCAACTTGGAAATTTAATAATAGTCTTTTAAATTATTCACTATTGACAAAAAAGTTAGAAATCAAATTTGGAGGTGGACATTTTGATGCGTCTACTCATCAGTAAAATGGGGAGTGGTTTAAATTAAAGTTAAAGCTTTTGCGATTCCAGACTAGTCAAATATAATCAGAACGAAAAACACAGAAACAACGAGCTAATTACTGAGAATTAATAAACTATGCATGCATGCACATCAACTCACTGCCGATGTTTTATACTGAGAGATTAAACAAGTTGCAAATCGAAATTGGATGATTATACTTGTACCAAGCAAAAGGTGCTTTTATATACGATCCCGTGCCCGATGGTTAGAAGAGGGTGAAAAGAACTTCTTCAATCTTTACAACCTTTCATAAACATAGGCATTAAGCAAAAAAAATTACAAAATCAAGCATTAATGCGGTCCTGTCCATGGAAATCTACAGTGATTAAAGATGAATCTATTTTCTACTCACACTTTACACAAGTCTCAGTTTTTCTTCTTCAAATTGTAGTCACAATAATTTTAACACTCACACAGGTTTTTAAACCAGAATATTAATTTGTATTATTGAGCAATTCATTGACAAGATCTTGAGGATCAGATGAACTACAGTAGATCGAAAATCCGGGCCTGGATAGGTCTGAACAACAGAGTTCTTAATAAAACATTTCTGGCAAGATATGAGAGAGATGATGTCCGTGCCTTTTTTAGAATGTATAAATTAACTGGTACATCTATCAAACACAATGAAGCAAGGAATTATTACTCAAACTCACAAAACCAAACAATGAGTTCTCTACTTATTGAGACTAATCTGGTGACCAATCACCTCACACATGTATGAATATAAAAGACTTCCCATGTATTTCGCTGACCGCCTTAAATGCCGGTTTAGCAAATTTATAGACTGAATGCCATCCTGCCTGAGTTAAGCCAATCGATCATAACACATAGACTTTACTCTGATATGTTTAGACTATAGAGATTTATGTTGACCAAACAGTTTTGGTCTGTTCCTGAGACTTCACTCAAAGCTTTTGATACGCCTGGAACTTGCTTTTCTGTTAAAGCCTTGGCCTTTTTAGGTTTTCGGTGCAAAATTTGTGCTATAGAGTCCACTTGCTTTATAGAGATATTTACAGTAACGTTTTCCTTAACCCTGGTATGACTTCTAGATTTAGCAGCTCGCGTGGTATCCGCAAGGGTGCCGCCCTGTGTCCCCCAAATTGTTTATTTTAGCAACTCATTTGGCTACTCTTCTATTAAAAATTGTAAATTCCTAGAAAGGCATTGCACGTATTTGGAACAGAATTCAGGCTGAGTCACGTTTTGCCCAAGCACGAAAAAAAAAAACATACACTGCGCCGTAGTTTTCTTAAAAATAGTTCCATGGTTCAGATTGCATCGTAACCTAATTTCATTATTTCTAGTGCCTACACGTTTAACTTTAACATAAATAAATGTGAGATTCTTCCACTCCTCATGCTCACACCAC